TTGTCAACTCTGCTCAGTGACTGTTTATAAAACAATAACACCTGCACTCATAACTCAGGCCGTTGTTTACCATTTCTTGACGTCTAAGAATTTAACGATCATTTTCACCTTTCATCTATAAAAAATTCCCCTATTTTTTTGTTCAAAAAGGTTTATCTCGGACAACATTTTATAGACACGCAAGTCAAAGATCTACCTGTTTATGAGCGCTCGTGTTAGAGTTTGTCTTCCACTAAAACCTTGACAGATAGTTTGACACATACTCAAACCGTTCCAAGTCTCGTTGTTTACATTTTGTGTTGCACAAGAATTTCACGGTTTACTCGAGTTCGAACCTCGTCTGGGACCCCACAACTACACCCAATTAAATTAGTTTCAGCTTTTTATTTCTTTTTGCAATTCGGCTCAACACTTTTTTGGCTGTAATTTTCTGGGGAGGGGCACCAGGTTAACTGGGGGGGACCGTGCCCACCCATACCCCTTCCTGGCTATGCCCATGACCAGAGAGCTAGAATGCAACCTCAACATCTCACATTTGTCAGTCACTATCATGAATGAATACCTGCCTATGTGGAAACTGTATGCATGTTGGGTATGTTATGAGTTGCAGCCAAACCACATGGAGGATAATGAGAATTTTGCAAGTTTATGCTGGAGAAATTTAGTGGTGGAATGTAAGAAACAGTCACTAACATACAAGTGATGAAATATGGTTTTACTATTAAAACTCTGAAACTAAAAACCAGAACAAGCAGTGGGTAGTGGAAAGCAAGGACTCCCCATCAAGTTTCTCTGAGAGTGAAGCATTGGAAAAGTCACAATTGCAGTGTTTTCCTGCTTATGCGGCATCATTTCACCTGTCATCGTGGAACAAGGTGCTACAGTGACCAGGGAATGGTACTTTTCTGTTTGCTTGTGAAAAGTGTTTCAGTCACTCAAAGAACAACTTCTAAGATCCAAATTATGCATGATCTATGCATCATAAAATCATGATCTATCATAATAATGCTCTTGGTTACAGGATCACTGCAGTTGTTTTTGGGAATCCTGCAATGTGATCCAGCTTCCACATCCTGCTTATTTGCTAGACCTGGCACTTTGTGACTTCTTCCTCTTCCCATGATGAAGAGAAATTTGAAGGGAAGGAAGTTTGATTCAAAGGAGGAACTAGTGAATGCAATGACAGCAGAGTTACTCAAGTTTTCAAAGGTAAATTTCCAAGGGTACTTTTTGGACTAGTTTTTAAGAATGAAGAAATGCATCGATTCTGATGGAAAATATTTTGAAAAATAGATCTGTATGATTCTGTGTACAAAAATTGACTAACAACAAAGTGTTTTTCGCGAATTTTTAATCCATGTATATTTATTGTGGAAAACTATATGAGGAGATGATTTCGAAAGTGTGATTTCGTTAAAATTGAAATTGATAGTATTACTTTTAGATAAATTATTTATATGTATAGTAGATACTTTAATATCGAAAACTGTAACCGACCTAGGCGTGAAACGAAATTCGTCCAAAATCGATATTAAAAATATCGAATTTTAAAAGAAATTGACAAAATAATTTTTGGTTAACGTTAAATTATGAATGAAATTTTTTCGTTCTATAAATATTTTTAATTTCAACGAGGAAGTCTAAATTTTTTTCGGTATTTGATAAAAACTTAATGCAGTGACACACTAGGCGATTTTTGTGGGAGACGTCACCCGGAGACAGAAAAACCTGTTTCTCGAGCAGCGGGAGTCAAATTACTTTAACTTTTGGGAGACAAAATCTCGTCGCTCACTGCAACCAATGAACGCAAAGTTGGTCCCTATTCGGGCGTTATGAAGAAAACCCAGAAAATTTCACGAGCCAGCCTATCGGCTCAAGGGCGAATCAGAGCCGATTAGTGTTTCTCAAACGGGATCTCAGGATCCCGGTTGTTTTTCTAACTCGGGAAATTTTTCTTATCCCGGGAAATCCTGCAAATTTCTTAAAAATTCACTTTTTTTTCTTATTTTGTGTTAAAGTTAAGAAATTTTGCAAATAAAAAGCATAATTATCTCATTCACTGTCAGAACACATTTGTATTTATTAATTTTAAACCTACCTATTAGTTTTTTTTAAATTTTTGCTCGTTATGACATGCCACAAATGGTCGATAATCAATAAGTAGCTTATTTGTGCCAGGACTCTGAAAATTCTTTACTTGTCAGAATCTGTAATATATGGAATAATTGTGCATACGCTGTCTTAATTTTTAACCATGCCCAGTAGCTTCAATACATGCGTAACGCCAGATTGTGCAAATTGGGCAAAGATACAAACGAGTATAAAGTCTGCAAGTATGAAGTTTTTCTTCATAAACCTGATTATTGAAGCCAAACGAATTGCCGAATTATTGAGCTCTAAGCTTGATGCCGCTATTAAAGCAACCGAGGCAGGCAAATCAAAAATACCAGAGAGCGAAAGAAGTACTACAATCTCGAAATCTTCCAGGCTACAGGTGAAAAAAAACATAATATCTGTCTTCTCTTAAACACATTAAACACGATTCCAATCACATCAATCGAATAGGAAAGGGCATTCTCGATAGCAAGACTTTTCATTACTAAAATAAGAATTAGAGTGAGTGATCGGAGTATTGATCATCTTTGCTTTTTAAAATCTTATAAAAGTTTATATATTAATACATAACAATTACATTAAATAAAATTTAAAAAATGTTATGCGGAGGGATGTTGCAATCCTGTTGTTTTCTGTATCACTCTTGTGTTCTCTAATTCTTTCTTGTAATGTTCGAGCAGTAGCATCGATAAAAAAGGTAGCGTTTGTATCGGATCTTAAAAATATCTTATAACATTGGGTTTTGTAGGGACGTTACGGGGTCTTTGTCGTTGCAAAGTATTCGCGATGATGGTAAAGCACTTACGGCAATATTTATTATTTCTAGATCTAAGAATAACTCGAACATACATTTGAAGTCTTCCACAAAGCATTTGCTCCATTACAAATACCACTTGCTAGGCTTAAAAAACGCTGCTATTCTTCCACTCATATACGTAAAGCCTACATTCATTATAGGAACAATTCTACGACAATTCGTGAAATAAATAAATGTCAAACAATCTGTTTCGGAAGCGAACTTTTCTTTAAGTAAGTCGTCTCTACCACAGGGTGAGGAATAACTTTTGCGTGACTCACCTCTCCTCAAGTCATCGCAAAAATTCAAGTTCTCTTCTTGCTCTTTACCATTCCTTAGCTGTTCAGGTAAAATAACAAGAAGTGCTTAAAAACATGGCTTAAATATTGCCATAAGTTCTTTACCATCATTACAAACACTTCAGAAGAATTAATAATAATAATTATCCATGGAGGAGATGATTATTATTATTAGTTATTCTTTTACAGTTAAGCTGCTTTTGTACGTATTCATATAGACATTCATATTCATATACTTTTGGTAATGGTATATTTTTTATTAATGGTAAATGACTTCTTCCAAATCCTTGTTTTTCCCAAATTAAATGTAGACTGCATACTTTTACTTCTCTTTTTTAAAGCGGAATACACTAAAAACATTGGTGCAGAGTGCCAAAGATGCGAGATGGCTTAAATACATTAAATACTTTTTCATAAACACTTTTTTTAAATGGAGGTGCATCTTATGTGCTGTAAAATACATTATATATTTCTACTTTTCATATCAATACCATACGTTATTTTAGTACCTAGTGTACTGGCGGTTATGGAGTATATTTGTATTCAGCTCCGTAATTATGTAACTCCGTAAGAAAAAATCCATGTACCGTACAGTACATGAGTGAAATTCGTATACCGGAAAGCGTACAAAAAGCGTACACTGCATACTGTACATATGTTTGTCATTTGTTTTTATGTTTGTATTATATGCGATTTGTCAAACAGCACTCAACATGTAACTACTTTGTACTCATACTGTATTTACGTTTGTTACCTATTAATACGTTTGTGCTATCTGTCGTTGTCACATAGCACTCCCCATGTAACTATTGTACTATTGTTAATCTGCATAAGGTACTGTACATTCATTTGTCATATGTTATTATGTTTGTACTGTCTACGATTTGTCAGACAGCTCTCAACTTGTAATTTCTTGTAACAATATTAATCTACACACTGTATTTACGTTATTACCTGTTCATATGTTAGTGCTGTTTGCGATCTGTAACGTGGCACTCCCAACCTGTATTCCTCTGTGACATTCTTGTTATCGTTATTGTTTTTTTCTGCTGATCTATTCTTATAAAACACCGTCGCGGGACGTCCATGGACTCATTTCTTTTCATCCCCTTTCCTTTCTTATCCCCACCCCATTTCCCCCCTTTTTCCCCCTTTTTCCATAACACAGGTTGTAACAAAGAATGATACCTGTCTTACTACTACTACTAGTACTACTAGTACTACTAGCTACTACTACTACTACTACTACTACTACTAGTACTACTAGTACTACTAGCTACTACTACTACTACTACTACTACTACTACTACTACTACTGCTGCTGCTCCCCGCATCCCGAAAAAATTACTCATTGGGCTGCAATTTACAAAAATTGTAGACATAAATTCCCACTGTCTGTCTGTCCTTCCTTAATCTCGAGAATGGAGTTAGAAAGATGCAAGTTAAGATCAGACATGGAAACATTAGGGACAGGAGGCCCCGATTAACTATATTATATGAACTTCCAATGCAAACTGGAAGTCTCGTTAATCCAATTAAAAAATTTTCCTGTGAACTAGTTAGACGACGAGTATGACTATTGCTAACAGGAAGAGACGGACGACATTCGGATTTCATAGGTCTACAATTTTCAAATTGCAGCCCAATAAAACAAACTAGAAATATAGTTTTCATTGCATATATTTAAATATATTGAAATCTTATAGGTTTTTTTCCTCTGACTGTTTCAAAAATTTCAAGCTTTTTCAATCAATCGAATAAAAATTATCTAGCAGTAATTAGTAATGACATTTGTATTATTTCAAAACAATGGTCGAATAAAATATTGTTAGACTAACCTTTCCAAAATTTGTCAAAAAAAAACTTCAGGAGGAAAGATATACGTAGATATGGATTCATTTAATGAAAATTTCAAACAGGTGGAAAGAGAAATGGAGTCCACTATAAGAAGACTGAAAGAAGAGATGGACAGAATCGAACAAGTGATGGAGGAGCATTTCATGGCTGTATCGGACCAAGCTCGAAGAAGATTGCAATATGAAAGGTATTAATATAAAGGAAAACTTTATAATATATAATACAAAAGATCATGAATTGATGCGGTTTTAAAATCCAATGAATACACAGGGTGCGATTTGAAATGGGATAAAGGGAATTTTTCTCTTCTAATAGAGTCGGACTGGCCATCTAGTAATTTTGGCAAATACCAGAAAGATTGACATATTTAAGGACATAGAGGCACAAAGAATTAATCTTGTTATTGTTTGTATATAGCAACGCGACTCGCGGGCATTTTGCGGAGGGTGATGTCTCCCTGTTTACAAACGAAGAAAATCCGGAAAAGTTTACGTAGCCAGACCGCTGGCGTGGTGCGCACCTACAACCAACTAATGTTTGGTGGCTTTATCCACTCTGCCACTGGTAGGCAAAAAAGAAAAGCCCGTTGTAATTATTTTTATATTGTAATTGATTATATTATATTCAAATTAACCTAATTACGTAGTATTAATTTCTTTAATTGAATTAAGTTTATTTTAAAAGGCCAATTTTTAATATAATACCGGGACAAATTTTGCCTTCTATTCTTTCGCAGTGGCGTACAGTAGGGGGCGGCACTTTTTAGGAGCGACAAAATTTCACAATAAATAATAAGAATATCTTGTAAAATTTTGAAACATCCTAATCTATACTTGCATCGCGCCTACGATAGTGCTATCGTCCGGACAGTCCGGGAATCGGCTCGCCGGGTGAAATAGTAACTTTTTCATCCGAGGAGTTCCTGCGAAACCTGTTGACAGTTGACCTTTTTTTTTTTTTGTTTTGTTTTTGCCTGTACGACTCATTCGCGTTCATATACACCACTAATATCCAATAGAACTGTTTTAAACAGGTCGCTGCAATATCACCGAATTTTTCATTGCTTGTTCTGTGAAAAAAACTCAATTTTGGTCTTTTAAATTGAAATATCTAAATAAGGGGGCCGAAATTTTCCTCCGCCCCAGGCGGCTGACACCCACGGTACGCCACTGGTGACTAGACTAGCAAATGACTGGATCATTCACTGGTTTAGTCACACTATCTTTTATATCCCCCGATCTGAAGAAATGGAAGTATCCCATCTAGGAATAGCTACTACTTTACACAATTGCATTTATATCATCACTTGTGACGTCTAAATTGTACGAATTTTTTCCAACAAAAACTGCACGGAATAGGTATATGTAGGTATAGTCAACTGCCACTTTATTTTATATTTCAACAGCGCTTTTTCTTTTGCTTTGTTCAATTATCTACTGCTCAGTAATGCTGGACAGCAATGTTTAGGAATGCTTAGGATAAACATACCTAGCTGATTTCTCTCTGGACTACAAACCCAATGGAGAATTGCTTATTGGTACATGTTACTGTTTCATGCATGTTTTAAAGTGATTCAAAAATTTGTTACAATACATGTAGGCTAGAATTACTACCAAGATCGTTGCAGTAGAATTACTACCAAGATCTTTGTGTTAGCTGCCTCTAATAGCAAAATGAGATACTATTGTAAGACTATCGTACATAACAGAGTGATCATCTCTCGGTAGAAATCTTGTAAATTATATATACTATATATATATGAACTTTATTCTTTATTGTTATTTATTTGTTTATAGAACAACAAACATGCTGTCTGGAGAATATAACCAAGTCGGAGAAGAAATCGAAAGTATAAAAAACGACATGAGACGATTACGCACAGAAATGGAAAGAATGAAGAGGGAGATGAATTCATTTACACAGGACACAATTGAGAGATCGTCATCTCGTAGTCCAAGTGTGCCCATTAGGGGTGATAAACGGTAATCTGTTTAGATCGCAAATGAATGTTGTTGTTATTCACATTAAAACTAATTTACAAACGCTACAGCATTACATATGATTCATTCAGAAGCGACAGTAGCTCAATTCAGCGAGAATTCGATCAAATTGAACAACAAATAGAAGACGAAAGAAAAAGAATGGAAGAAGATATGAATCGAATGAAAAATGATGTAGAACGCATGATTTCTGAATCAGGGTTTATCACAAATAAACTTCCTACCGGAATCAATTACCCTTGCACTGAAGACAGACAGCTATTTAATCGAGATACTTTACCGTGGAGACTGGCAGAAGATCCATTAGTTCAAAATAATTCTAGAGGAAATCGTTTAGATCTAAAAATAGATCTTCGAGAATATGCACCAGAAGAAATCTTTGTTAATGTTGAAAACAATCGCTTAGTGGTAGGAAAGACAGAAAATATTTGATGTTTGTCCATCAAGTATAACTCAAAAATGACAAAAATTTTCTTTTTTTATAGATATTAGCAGCACAAAATAAAAAAGACGGAACTAGAAATATCAAGAAGGCATTCAAATATGAAACAAATCTTCCTGAAGGAATTTCTGCCGACAAATTGGATAAAAAATTTTCTAGTGATGGAATCCTCAATATACAAGCATCTCTTCCCGAATACATTCAACAATAAACTGACTAAGTCTTGACTATTAAAACAAGAAAAGAATTTCAAAATTTATCCACCAACAAAATTATTTATATTTTTCATTTAAATGATGATAATTGATGTCTAATCATAATATATATGATTAGAAAATAAAAATCAATTGAGTAAACGCGTATCTTTTTCTATTCTCAAGCTTGAATCTTGTTCATGTCTTTCATGCATATACACAGAATAAATATACTCGTATACAGAGCCGGACCATCACATAGACAAATGAGACAAATGTCTAGAGCCCCCGGGTTTTTGAAGGGCCCGATCAAACTGTCTATTTTGAAAAGATTTGCAAATAAGATAGTTTACTTTTCTGTTGGACAATCAGAGGCGTAGCTATCGTGGAGCAGTTGGAGCAAATTGCTCCGGGCGCACGAATCATGGGGGCGCCAAGTTAGAAAGGGCGAAATAAAAATTTGTAAAACATTTGTAAAAAAATGTTTGCATTTAATAATTAATTAATTAACTATTAGATTTGAATCCGTTGGACAATTTTGTACACTTTTAAAGTTCTTATCACTTGCATATCTTGTGAAGTCATCTGATAAAAATATTCTGGAAGAATCAGAACTTCTACAATCGGCACATCCAGTGCCGGCCCGAGGCAAGTTTATGGAGCGAGCGAGATCCTATTATGGCGCCCTGGGGTGGAACCCCACCCACGGACTCGACCCACTCGCGTCTTAAATTAACAGATAAGGCCATTCGGATACTGGCCACACGCTTGCAATTAGAATATCGAAAAGTGAAAAAAAATATTTTTTCCTTTAATTTTCTTTACCACTGAGGCACCCTCTAGGACTTAGCGCCTGGAGCAGCTGCTCCGTTCGCCCTATGGTAGGGCCGGCTCTGGGCACATCCTTCCGACATTTCGCCTAGTTTTGGACCTCAATTGCTTCGATTTAAAATGTGTTTTTATACTCGGGTAAACGAAATTACTTCTACACGCGAAGTTGTCAAACTTTACTTTTAATAAAGAAATTAATTCACACCGCAGCCTCAAGTAGGTTTTCCGACATTATTGCAGCATGCCTCATTTTTTAAAACTTTACTGGCGACAACAGCCACAGCAGAACGAAGATTTTCAAAACTAAAATTAATAAAAAATTATTTAAGCAGCGTGTCACAACACTGTCTTCTTTGGCCTTATTAATTGAAAAAACAATATCTTGTCAACTTGATCTGGAGAAAGCGATTGACCGATTTGCAAACGAAAACGAGAAAACAACAATATTGAAGTTTTTTTATGTATTATTATGTATTTGTTATGAAACTAAACTTGCATACATTTTGTCAATACAGTTTATATACTGTGATACTGTGTGATAATTATTATTAGGTACTCCGTACTTAAAGAATTATTTTGTTTTATTTTTATACTAGCTCTACCCAGCCACACATTGCTGTGGCTCAAAATGTATCTATTATAAATGTATAACACTCCCCGCGGGGGGAAATTTCGAAAAATCCCTTCTTAGTGTACATTCTCTTGACGAACCGTATTAAAACGCAAAAAACCGCATCTAAAATAGTATAATAGAAGCCGAGTTCTTCACGGTCAGCCTTAATTCTGTTCCTCTAATCCGGGGGGAGGAATTTAGACATCTATATAATATAAAAACACGTACGTATTCGAATGCAACGTTGTTTCAAAATTTCAAAGCAATCGGTGAAGAACTTTCGAAGATTTAAGATTTTGAACAAACGAACATTTACATTTTTATTTATATAGATGATAATATGGTATTATTATATATTTATTAATTGAATATCTTATTATAGAAATGCCTCGAATCTCAAATAAATTATTAAGTAAGGTTAAAACTTTACTTAATAACAATTTATAATAAATCGAAATAATTAGATATATGTTTTTAAATTAAATGTACAAAACAAATTTCGCGAGACCTCTTCCGAGGAACAAGGGGCGCACTGATTCTACTTGTTCCAGGGCGCTGAATATGTAGCTACGCCACTGGCTCAGAATATGCGGAAAGTATTTCTCTGGGAGGGGAATCTAGTTCAAAAACTCCAATTTGGAACTCGTTGCTACCGCTTTGGGCCCGTCTGAGGATCCAGGATCGAAAAACTCCTGGAATTTTTATGGGCGGTCCATCTCGGATATATTGGGCCCCGTCCTTCCATATCCGGTCGGTTCTCATTGTAGGTCTGATCGAACCTACGATGAGTATGGCTAAAAAGACAATCGTTTTATTTGTATACGGCAGAGAGCCAAAAATGAATAAATAAATTTAACGTTGTCTGATAGAAAAACTGCTATTTTATACCGAAGTCATCACAAAACATGGTTCACCTTTCTGTACCTAAAAAATCCAAGCATCGTTTTCTTTCCTGTACCTAAAAAATCCAAGCATCGTTTTCTTTCCGGTTCCGCCTCAATTCGACCGCGACACGACAAAACGCGCGATGTCCTAGCTATACTTCTATGTACTGTACTGTACGATACATTCTAAACAAGTTAATGTTGCTCATTTATCCTCTGCTTATTAAGAGACAGAAATAAACGTATTTGTCTTATAATTAAGTAAACTGAATCTCAACATTGTAGATCGTTTTCAGTTTTCTGATCACATCCAGGGGTGGATCTACATAGGGACTAATAAGGATTAAGCCCTGGGCCCACAAAAATTGAATTATCACATTTTTTTATACTTTTTCATTAACAAAGAACGCTTATCGTATAGTAAAAAATTGTTAATAGTTTTTTTTATAACTCTCCGCCCTGTGGACACTAAGTGGGCTCTTTTAGCAAGTCCATTATGGGTTCGGCCAGGCTCACAATGAGGCGACCGGGTGGTGAGGGACGAGGCCCGAGATACGGAACGGACCACTCCCCGAAAAATTCCTGGGGATCTTTCGACCAGTCCGATTCAATTCCGGGTCCCCCAGAGAGAAGTTGACCGCTCGGTTATAGTTAATAGGTTAGGTTAAGTTTGGTAAAAATTGAACTTCAATAAGCCCTAGGCCCTAAAAAACCTAGACCTGCGCCTGGACACATCTACGTCTGGTGTAAAATTCAGTAATTGGACTAGCTCAGCTAACAAGCAGAGGATCAGACATTCGGATGGGTTATTCCTTCGAGACTGCCTGTCCTTGCGGAACTTCAGAATTTTTTATTGCCCACAAACGAAGAAAAGCTCTCAATAGAGGTGTAGCTAGAGCGGGGAAGAAGGGCACGTCCCCCGGTAGCCACTCGCAGAGGGGTACCAAATGGTCTCCAAGACAAACAAGTTTTGTTTCTGGAGGGGAGGGGGCGAGGGAGGGGGTCGCAAATATAGTGTCGTACCTCGGGAACCAGTTATGTTCGCTACGTCATTGTCAATCAGTCAGTCAGTCGGCCATTTAAAATACAAAGAACTAAATAAAATGCTTAATTTTTCGTCTTATTTTATTATTAAAAATTTAAGCTTACCTTAACAATTTGAAGTACCACAACTTTGGTACGTATATCTCATCAGTTCCTGCTCCCGATTTGATTGATGCTTTAACTTTTTTCATTTCTTTTCTGTATGCGCTTCTGATATTGTTTATTTTTTTATAACGCTTTCTTTATCGGCCTTTGGTTCCATTTCTTTTAGTTTTTCGATTAAACGGAGATAAGCAGCTTCTTTCTTGCGTCTATTGTAGTATTCTTTATTTTTAATATGCCAAAGGCATGGTTCGCTCTCGTAAATTTTTAAAAATTCCTCCAAATCTTCACGTGACATTGTTCTAACTACTGAACGATATACGACGGCACACACGTTTTGGTGGGTCTACTCAGTCTGACACACCGCAGGAAAATCAAATGGTTTTTCGATTCTACTGAGGTGGTCAGCGAAGCTGTTAAATTGTACCCCATAAACTATAAAGGTCAGGCATGCATGATTACTCCTTTGAGGATTAACCTGATGAATACGGGCGTTTCTACTCAGGTGGTCGGTAGAATTTGCCGAAACTGTTAAATTTTCCCCCACACATTTCCAGGAATGATTAAAAATCAGGCATGCATGGTTACTCCTTTGAGAATTAACCCATGGTGTATAGCAGCCTTAAGTATGTAGTCCTTAACACAAACAGCTCCTTGTCGAAATAACAGGACCCATTCTGAAACATTCATTTTGATTTATGAGAGATTAAAAGTCGTGATATCATCTCCTATTTAGCGAAAATAACGTCTCTAAATTTAAGTATTTCCAAGTCGTTAAATAAAATTTTTATTTCATATTTGTTTTCAGATATAGTAGTATTGTCATATTTGAAGTATAACACGGGCACATGAAGAAATGACTCTCCGCGTAAGATTAAAGATGGTCACTGTACAAGTCTATATTAAAAATCGAACGATACGTTAAATTGATTTGTAGATACTAATTTTTTTTCATTGATCAATTTTAAGCAAGCAGTCATATAAATATTGCATAACTGTGGTCATGGACGTCGATCTGTATAAGACAAGGAATGTATTTCTCAATATTTTTGCACTAGTAAATTGTCGAAACGAAACTAGAAACGAACACTCTAGCAACAAATTAACCTTATTTTGTATATTCATTCAAAAACTCGAGAATGGGTAACTTTTCTTACTAGGGTTTCTCATTTCCCGGGATTTAATTACTGTAACTATTTTTAAGATATAAAATAAATACGATATAATTATTTTTCATTTTTAATAATTTAATACGTCCTGCAACCTCCAAATTAATAATAATGTTATGTAAAATATGAATTATTTGAATTACATTGAAATTTTCACAAATGGAAAATTATTATTAAAGTTTGTTGGAAACTGCTTACAAAAAAACCCCTTTGAATTGAGTTGAAAATTTAAAGAAAAAAAATGAACTTAGATCAAACTTCTAAGTTAGAAGGCAATTTTCACTTTCTAAATAAAAACATAATAGAAAATATTATTGTAAACTTGTATAATAAGATTTTAAAAAGCAAAGATGGTCGATACTCCGATCATTCCTAACTCGTTTTCGAGATACGTTGCAGTATTTCTTTTGCTATCTAGTATTATTGATTTGTCTACCTGGGCTTCTTTAATAGCGGAAGCTAGCTTATAGCTCGATAATTCGGCACTTCGTTTGGCTTTAATAATCAGGTTTATGAAGAAAATCTTAATACTCGTTGGTATCCTTGTCCAATCTGGCACAATGCAGTTATTGGATATGGTTAAAAATTAAGACAGCATCGGCACAATTATTCAAGATATTACAGGTTCTGACAAAGAATTTTCGCAGTCCTGCCACAAATAGGCTACATATTGATTATTAACAATCTGTGACATGCCATAACGAGCAAAAATTTTAAAAATATGAGGGCTTAAAATTATTCTGACAGTTTATGAATTAATTATACTTTATATTTGCAAAATTTCCTCAACCTTAACACAAAATAAGAAAAAAGTGAACTTTTAAAAAATTTGCGGGATCCCCCTTAGACAAACCCTATTTCTTACCCATTGTCATTGGCCTGTCCCTATAATATGCAGTTTGACCCCGATGATTGTTCTCAGAAATGTGAAATTTCTGTAATTGAAAATAGAGTAAAATAAATTTTTTCATGGTATAAGAATTTTACTGCCGACGAAAATCGTTAATTATGATAAATATCGGATGATTTAAATTATTGTTAAATTTAATCTTCCTTTATATTTTTAATTTAATTCTGATTTAATTTTATATTTCTAATTTAGAATTATTAACATTTTACTAAAGTAGTTCCTAAAATGTTTCGTATTTTAGCAACTAGTTATTTTTAATTACGTGGTAAAAAACTGACATGGACATGCCGGAGTTTCACGACACTCGAACAAGAGATTAAGGAGACCACTAGGAAGTTCGATAATTTTCATTATACTATTATAGAGTATAAAATTTCAGTAATAACGGGTATTTTGTTGAATTACGATAAAAATCTCCAACAAAAATTCGTTTTAAAAACACCGACACATTAGCACAAAGTTAAAATTGTCTGTGGCCCCATCTGCTATTATTTTTATTAAAAATCTTATAAAAAGGTAAAAAAGGCTTATTTTTCAGGTAGAAACAATATTTCTAAAAATTGTAAATGCCAACAACAATAATAGTCCCCACTCGAGATAGACAAGATTCCTGTATTTCCACATCCTCTCGACCATTAACCATCAAAATTTAATATCATCAACGAGGAATAACCCTGCCTGTTCTGAGATACTATACAAAAACATGCTCCAACACACAATTTTGAAAGACATATATATAGCGGTTTTTTTTTGTTCCCCAATTTCAAAAGAACTCGAGTCAATAAATTTTAAATAGCAATTGCCATTGAATTTCGTTTTGCAACGAAATACGGTATTTTATTCCTATCATTGTCCTTGAAACTATAACTGCAGGTGAAACAAAAAATTCATCAAGAGCTAAATAAGCAAAACAGGTGGACAGATCAATTATCATGCATGTTTCCTTTTGATATTAAAACTTGTTTGTTTATTGGTTTTTTAAGTACTGTCTCTTCCTTTACAAGTTCCCGTAAATTCAAATTTTTATGGCGTAATGGGCAAGAAAAAGATATATTTCGGTATTATTGAATATTTAAAGTTCTAAACTTTTAATGCAGTAGTAACTTTATTTTGCTTTTTAGAAAATTTTTACTGTAATTTTATAAGCTTTGATGTTCTATTATATGTTCAATATGTAATTTTTAAATTCTCAATTACTGTATTTATAATTTATATTGAAAGATATAAATTACACTAATTTTTTAATAAGCAATTTATTATGAAATATTGTACTGTACAAGGAACATACAATTATAGTACTGTGTAATAAAATCGCAACTTATATTTTGTTTTTATATCGACAGTATTTGTCTTTAAATGTCAATGTTAAAAAACAATACTGCTAAATGGGCGTTCGTGGTATCGATGTTTATGTAAATGTCATTTAAAACGATATAACCCACGAATAAAATTCAGCGTTGCAAAACTAAGTTTATTTTATATCAAACGCTTGCTGATGAAAAAATAGAGATTCCATAGGATGTATAATCTGTTTAGTATAAGCTCAGAGTTTTTAGTACTCTGTTATATCGCGCTTTTTCATTGTCTCCCGACAAGTCTGATATAACAAGGGGTTACCGTATTATAAATTTTGGATTCCTTAAGAGCCAATGTCGAGAAAAAAAAAGTGCGAGGGGCGATCAAAATTTAACATCGGGGAAAATACGGTGTTCTGTCAAATTCTATAACAGTCAGGAAAGTAATCTAATTTAATTAAGACTGTTCAAAAAAGCAACCTCGATCGCAATAATGTACGAACTAAAGAATGCTTAATTTCAGTATCAGATTTAATTTATATACTCAGATTTTATTAAAAGTTTTTGTAATTCCAATACCTCTCTCTTAATTCTTCAGTATAAAGTTTATGTCCACAGTATCTATAGACTATTGTAAAAATTAAAAGTGAATGAATAAGTAACCATCACTAATTACATAACAACATTTTATTATATTTAAAAAATCACTTTTATTACAGATAGTTTTAATACAGAATAAAAAGTTTAAAAATTTCTTATTTACATTATTATACATTTAGAGAAATCATATATTTCGATTGTTCCTGTAAAAGAAAACAAAAATAAATGATTTTATTACTATCTTATTAAAAGACCAGAAATTAGCAAAGTTTGTTGTAAACATATTATTGAATTTAAACTGTTCATAAATAATCTACTTACATATAAATACATGACATTTGATACTTGATATTTTTGAACTGAATCATCATCTAATATAAATAAAAGTATAATTAAGAAAAATTACGGAATAAAAACAATAAGCAGGATATGTAATATAATTTTTTTTGACACAATTCTTTTAAAAATATTCTTGATTTCTCTCAATTATAAATGTGAAATGAATGCTACTTAACAGTAACTATTTTATTTCTTAAGTATATTATTTTCTAGATCTACTATAAAAACATTAAAGATTTGAATTAATCATACTACAGTGAAAATTCTATTAAAGCACTGGCTTTGTTATAATTTATCACTGTTATACACTGATAAATTATAACTCGCCAACACACACACACACTTTTAATAAATTTCTTCATCTCCAATTATAATGTTGACTGAAATCAAGATTAAAATTCTGATACAGAAGGCACACTAAACAGATCATATATCAAGCTTTAGAAGATTATTCTAGTTCTTATTTTAGTTCTAATATTTACACATAACAATTATATTACAGAAATAATTATTTAACTTTTGAAAAATGATTCACAATACAGTATTTTAAGTATAATCTTAAATAAGAAAAAATGATAGATAAAATTACTCTAATATTTGTAGCTAACATTTTGTATATCTCAAAGTATTAAAATTTTTACTTACTTTTAAAGCAATTTCAAATGATTTCTCCAGCTCCATTACAAAGTAAAAGATATGAATATCTAAGAAAATATATCTTATTAAATACTGGTTTGAAATATTGTAAAAATGACTTTTGAAATTATTTATGGCAGGGTTGCTGCTTTATGGGTTGTAGTATCTGCTTTTATGATACTAGTCTTAATTCTAAGAATGTTAGTTAAATGGGAATCACTCAACTTATTTTTTTAGCAGTTTAGATGTTTTTAATGCACAAAAAGAATTGTTCACAACAGTATGTTCTATCCCATATGAATTACAGTTCTCTAGATAAAAGTGTATCCAGTGAAACGATAATAACTTTTACACGTACTTTACCAAAATAAATGAAAACACACCTAAAAATATTTAGGGTGCAGTGGGCCGCATAAAAATATTAAGTGGGCGGGCAGTGCGGCCCATTGGCTGGACATCCCTGATTTATGGTATTACCATTACTAAATTATTGAAAGTGTGAAATAGTAATCTTAAAAATCAGTTACTATATTTGTATTTTACAAAAAACACAAGTTTCTTACTTTTGATATTTTTTCCTCTCAAATCTCTCTCTCATTTTAAAATCATGAGATCTACATTATTATGGCAATTTTTTAACATTCAAAATGCAGGCTTCTGCTTTTCTTTATTAGAGCTGAAGTTTTCTGATACGCTGCAATTAAAAAAAAAAAAAATATATATATATATACAAATACGTATACACATATATAGACACATTTAGCCTATATATTTAATTGAAATAGGTTTTCATTACATATTTATAAATTTTTAAAAGTATGCTGATAAATATCTATAATATATTAAAATATCTGTTTCATCAATTTATCAACAAAAACAGATTAAACATACCACAAATTTGATAGAAAATTCAATTCTTCCAATCAGTGTGGTTTGCAATTGTAATTAATACTATATTAAATTAATAAAACATATTTTAATTATGAATATTAATTTTTTGACAGCAGGCTTCTTGAAAAATATGTCCAAGGTAGTCTGTTTCTCTCTCTTCTTCAACAACCAACAGGTGTTGAAGAAGAGAATGTCATTGTAGAAATCATTGATCCTGTTGGCCTCAGCTCTGTTTGGATAATGAGTGTTGATAAACTCCTGAACCTCTCCCCATTTGACAAGGAAGTTTTTGTCAACTTTCACTCCTTCTAATGATTTCTTGCTTTGTTTCAATTGAAATCATCTTTCTGTTTTTTAGAAGCCATGATTTGCACTTGAATAAATGTAAATATCCTACACTGAGGTGATGTACGTAATAAACAAGGGAGCAAGCCAAATCCCAACGGGAGCTCCGTACTTCAGATATACTAATAATATATTCTAATAATACTATTATAAAAATAGCAGATTGTCATTGGCAATGGCAAAAGAGTGGAAACATCATTCGCACCTGTTCACAGAAAGTCAGTTGTTCGCCTCATGTTACTGCCGAACGAAAAGTCCATTGTTCGCAGCCAGTCCATTGCTCGAGTCACGTAACAGCCAAACAGAAAGTCTGTTGTTCGCAGCATCCGTTATACGAGGCACCACTGTATTAGATTAATTAATTTTATATACTTAGAGTAAAACAACATTAAAGGCTAAAAGTAATAGATTATTCAATTGATTATTAGATGTTAGATTGATATGAAGTATTAGGTCTGTCCATGTTTGTTTGTTTAGTTATGGCAACACAACACTTGGGTGATCTGCCTAGGGGAGATGCCTTCTGGGAGGTCTTTTTAAGGGGAACTGGCTCCTATTTGTGTGTTACCAAAAAACCCAGGAAACTCCAAGTGGCCAGCCTGTCCGAGCGAGGTGCAAACCCATGACCTAACTCCCAGTGTTCAGGGAATGAAGACCACTTGGCCACTGGTGGGCCAGGTCTGTCCATGCACCAAGTACTTTGCACAACAAGAAGAGTTTTCCATTCTTTGGTCTTTTATGATAATCTGTATCACCCCACTTAATACTGATATTCAAAAGTCTTTAAATATATTTTACCAAGACTTTTCCTTCTTTTTCTAATCAGAAGGTAGTCATTGTAATGCAGTCTTAGGATATCTATGATCTGGTAAGTGTAGCATATGCTAGCCAATATATTTTTCATTCTATTACAATGTCTTCTAATCTTTGATCCTCATCTTTGTAGAATTTTATTGTTTGTAATGTGGTCACTAACTGATTTTAAAGTTTCTGCATACACATCTCTAATGAAACATGTTTAATTTTTGTTATTTACTTTGTGTACTTCCAATAATTTACCATTGACAGGACAGCAGTTTGATAGTGCCAGATTTTTGTTGTACTGTCTACTGATGATGGGTTTGAATTAATTACATTCATTCCTATGAATAACATCTGCTTTGAATTTGCCACCTTTGAAAGATATTATAGCATTTAGATAAGTAACTGAATGTTTTCAATAGACCAATTCCAAGGATTATCTGTATATTATCCTGCTTATTTCAACTTGCACAATTTTGGATACTTTGCTATTTATTGTAACCCAATTCTCCTAAATGTTTTCTCCAATCTAGTTATCATTTCTTGAGTGCCTGTTTTCTCAGCTAATAATGCTATACTGTCATCTGCAAAAGTGTCCAAAAGTCTGAGTTGAGTTGCTTCTTCCAGTGAATGACTGAATCAATTCAGTTGAATATCTTTTGCTTGACAAAGTCCATGGCCAGAAAAAATAGGAATGAGAGAAAACAACTTTGTATGACTCCAATAATGCCAGTGTTAAAAATTTTGATAATGCGGCGATCAGTTTTTATGCAACAGTTTTAACTGAGATAGCTATTACAAAATATGTTAATGTAATATTGGAAAATGCCATATTCTCTTGCAATGCTCCATAAGGATTTTCTAGTTACAGTAAAAAGATATTAGATTGCAAATATTTGAATTTTGATTAAAATAAACTGAAATTAATGCAATTTTATTTAAATACTCCTCCTGCACATTCTGTGTTATGTATATTTATCAAATAAATATTTTACTGGTCACTCAAAGGTTTATTGTGAATCTATTTTTATATATTTATCAAATTTATATTTATGAAGTTTTAATAGTTCTTTAATAAAATGAGATTATATTTTGCTAAAATTAAAATTTAACTTCATAATATTCATTCTAATGCTAAAGCTGAAAAATAATATTTTTTGATATGAAGATGATGTTTTGAAAATAAAAGAAGTCTTCAACAACATATAGTTTATTATTATTAAAGATATTAACAAACTGAAATCAAAAAACTTTAAACACATTTAATAATGGAAAAATACACTTCAGCACATCATCTCTATTGATTAAGTAATAATTTTCAGATTCGCAATTATTTAAAAATCATTATCAGTATCAGTTATAAAAAATTATTATAAATCACTAACAGATAATTAAGTCTCACAAATAAATGTTTCTTTATCAAAAATAAAATTAAAAAGATACATTTGCCACCTCATACACAATAGACAAAACACATCATCCCAGTCAACATGCAACAGTGGAAGTTCAACCACTGACCACACCAACAGAGGAAGTGGCCTCAAGAAATTAAGGAATTCACCACCCATACCTATTACAAAACTTGAAACATATGACAGCAAGAGATAGACACTGAATCATAAATTCCACTAAAACACCTAAATCTTACTATTACAGAGCAAAGAATTATTGATAAAAAAGGAACAATTATATACAACAATCAGATTCCATAAACAATGCATGAGTTGCACACCTAGTGATCTAAGAAATACATAAAGACAAAACACACAGAAGACTAGACACCCATTCACAGGATTTCAATGACAGTCACATAAAAACATACACAGCATAACATGTATTAACAAAAATACTAATACACGAATAAATATATTAACCCATCCCAGGTTTAAATTTTTCTCCGTCGTGTGTCACTTCGCATTCAATTTTTGTCGATGTTAACCACTCAGCAATGAGGATCGTATATATATATATATATATATATATATGTCCAAGGTGAAGGACATATATGTATGTAAAATTCTTTTGGGGGTATCACCAAAAACTACCGTGAAAAAAATGCACATAAAAAATGAATTATGTAATAATAAAAAAAAAAGACTTTTTCTTTACTAGACATAACTGTTTACAAAATCTTTTTCCAAAATGGTAATGAGAAAAAAACGCGTGAAAAAATACTTTGAAAATTTCCCAGGTATATTCTCCACTACTTTGGGATAGCACCATACCTGACTATTCCACTGCTGAAAGGTTAAGCCTAAAGTAAATTTTTTAAAATAATAATTGTGGCTATTGATACAATAGCCACAATTATTATTTTAATTGTGTTAAAAATTATTTCTTTATTTTGTACAAACAAAATAAATACAGTGTTACCTCGGGATACGAAATTAATCCGTTCCAAAACTGAGATCGTATCGTGAAAATGTCGTAAGGTGAATCATTTTTTCCCATACGATTACATGTAAAACTAAATAATTCGTTCCAACAGGAAAAACACATTCAAATTAAAGCTAAGTAGTACATTAAAAAATAATAATAACTATAGTAAGGAAAACACTGAAAAACGCGTTTCGTAGTTGTAAATGTATAAATAACCATAACAGAATAATAATTGATTTTAAAAAATGTAGTTTTATTTGCACTTTACCTTTGAGGATAGACGACGGTGGAGGTGTAAACTGGTGGCGGAGGAGAGGGAGAAGGGAAATGATACAAAAACTTAACTTACATAACATAATGTAACAATAACTTAAAAATAACTTGACACAAATTTTTTAACTTTTCTGTTTCATATTTTTTTTTATTCACTGCTTTTTGCTTTCTTTCCTTCACTTCCACTAACACTTTCACTGGATAGAGGTTGCTTGGTAAAATATCTATCCAAAGAGGTTTGGCTTTGCCTACTTTTTAAAATGTTTCTAAAATTACTTAGGCAAATGTCATTACTCCGAGCAGCAATACGGCCATTGTGAATCTTTTTGGGATGTTTCTTTTCAATAAAATCAGTCACTTTCTGATAATACCTCAAGATTTCCTTTATCGAGCGAGATCCTTCCACGATGAAGCAAACACGTGGACTGAGACCAATGATCAGAAGTGAATAAAAAATGGCGCTGCGAACTAATGTAACGTCATATGGTGAGTTTTTGTTCGTACCGTGGAGCAAAACTATGTTCGAATTTCATGTCGTATCCTGAAAATTTCGTATGCTGGGGCGTTCGTATCCTGAGGTATCACTGTATATTGAAAAATATAAAAACAAAAAAATTATATTTTGGAAGTTAACCTAGTATCAAAAACGTTCGATTCAGCATGATACAATCAGACAAACGTTTTTGGTTAACGAACATTTTGGTTGATCAACTTTCGGATAAACGACGCTCTAATGTATTACAAACTAGTAACACTACAAACAGAGAATTAATTGACAGGCAAATTTATTTCAAGAAACACTCAAACATATTAACAAAATATGTTCAAGCAGATTCAACACATTAAGACACACTTTAGTGTATTCTGACGCAGTCACTGTAGCTACATACCATAGACTTAAATTACAATCAAAACACAGACAAATCATAAGTCTGCCAGACAAAAACAACTAGAAACACATATAACATTAGATAACAATTAGACAGGCTGACAGTACATTTAAAACAACATAATACCAAACTTAAAAGATATTAAGAAAATTAAAACTCACACACAGCATGAACACAATATGCATGTACAGAAACTGACACTCTCAAACAAAAACTAGAAGACAAATTACAAAGACTGAATGATACAATGCCTATATATTATGAAAACAACAAAATAAATTATTCAATTATTATAAATTACTAGCATCCCCGTCGCGGCCTGCCTGCTCTTATATACATATAGAACTTAGAAAATTTGAACTAATTGTTCATTAATTATTTTTGAGTGATCAATGTGTAGTATTGCAGTAGAGTATTGCAAAATATAAAAAAATAAAATCATAAAACTTCTGAATAAGTTATATTGATGTGAAACCTAAAAAATTCCTTGCTACACGCATTCGTTGCCCTTCCAGTCTTTGCTGTAGAAGTGTAGATTCACATCGTCTACAATTATGAACTGTTTCTTCCTATTCGTGCTCTTGCAGCTCTCGGCATTATTTATCAATCAATCTCAAAAATATTCACCAATAACTATTTCGAATATTTTGTACAATTACCTGCAGAAACGATTCGAAAACCCGCCATAAGTACTGTACACATACGGCCATCTAGCGTGATGACGTCACTTTTTTAATTCCTCGAAGATTTTGCTAATTAACTAATTATAATTTAATGTCAGTTCTTCAAATATAATAGTAAACTTCAATAACAGACTTTTCTTACAGACAGCGTGTGTCGCCATCTAGTGAAGAGAGAGAGAAATAGACAGACAAAACTCTGTTGCATTTTTATTTAATTAATAAAAAATCTATAGGTTTGATTAATGGTAAACATTCCAGGGATCATAAAGATGCTACAGTTAAAGTTTGGTAACGATTGGTTCAGTAGTTTTCATGGTTAGTGGTCACAAACGAAAAATACGTTAACTCTTTATATAGTAGTATAGATATAGATTAATGACTTTTCTACAGGCAACTACATATCAAACCCACCACACAATGGCATGCCAAAAACTAATTTCAGTTTATTTTAATCAAAAATTCAAATATTTGTAATCTAACTTAAATAATTCACAAATCAAAGAGGTCTGTTCATTGGTCCAATCCAGTCACATGTAAAGATGAAGATAACATGCAATACAAAGAGCATATATCTGGTGCAGACAACATTCACAATTTTAGTACAAATAAGCTAACAAGTTGCTCAACTTTCCTGGCAACATTTAAAATTTTGTAGAGCCATCTGTTTTATTTTATTTAAAAAACTGTCATTTTATAATAGTTAAAAATATATATAAAAAAGCACCTCTCGCACAACTCCTGGGAAGATAAATCAACACAAAATAAACCTTTTTAATATCCAGTATGAACAAATTTAAACAAAACAAATGTTTTTGATCATAAACTTGATCTTCATCAGGCTAATGGCCAGTATAAAATTCAAAACCAGAAATTTGAACAGTGTTTATAAATTTTATACTGGCCATTAGCCTGATGAAGACCAAGTTTATTGTTGAAAACGTTCGTTTTGCTTAAATTTGTTCATACTAGAATATTAAAAAGGTTTTTTTGTATTGATATATAAAAAAGCTTAATTTTGAGGGTACAGATGAGTTTTATAAAAGATTGTAAATGCTAATAATGAGTAAAATAGTCATTAAATGCAATCCTACTGGAGATACACACTACCCCCTTTATCTCCCCACCCCTCAACCTTTAATCACCCAAATTTAATAGCATAAATCCTCCTAATAAACAAACCTCTCTGCAAAATTTCAGAAATTTTTGATAAAAAGTGCAGGAGTTATTAAGTTTCAAAGAGGGTGAATAAAATCGTACCACTCACACACACACTAACTTCCATACATACAGAAATTACCCCCAATTTTTTTTTTGCATTTCTTGATGTTTAATGGTATCATAAGAACAAAAATGTAAAAATCGTAGGGGATGATTATTTGACTGATTGCCATACTTTCCCTCTGTTATATGTAACAGCTGAAAAAGTAAAAAATTTACATCTCTGCACAAAGAACTAGCCAAACATTTTACACATACAATCAACAATCCACAAGACCTGCCAAAATTTCTTACTTGGCATCGCATACATAAAACGACGACACTATAGACCTTAACACAATACAGACCAATCACATAACACAAAGCAAGTAAAAGAATTTTGTAGAAACCACATTGAATGAAAAGAACAGTTACTCATAGATTTGATCATTCCACAACATAGAAATCTAATAGTGACATACATTGATTAACAGGAAGGCATTAGACAGTATCCCATACACATAGTTATTGCAAACACTACACGTATATAAAATACATCCTACACTCATTACATTTTTAGAAAACACAATGAAAACATTGGAGAACATCACACCTCAGTATTCATGACACAAAATGAAGAATTTTCCAGGTACTCATTAAGTCCACTCCCAACAGGTTAAACAACAGCAAATATACTACATATTATCTCATTTTGCACACATTTTATAAAACTATGCATCCACATAAATACAGCTAAATCACCTATTAGATGTTACATACATTTACTCCACAGACATTCAAATGGAGTTTGGTCTAGACAAATGCAGGACACTTCACAGAGAAACAGGAATCATGAAGAGGTAATTTTCTACTGTTTACTTGGAAAGGGAAAACAACATTGAATCTATGAATAAAGTGAAGTCTACAAACATTTAGGATTTCAATAGGCCAAACTCAAAACATGAAAATATAAAATACTAAAGAAGACTAAAAAAGAATACAACATCAGATTAAACTTGATACTAACAACATAACTGGATGCAAAACACACATGTTCCACTTGGATAATGGACACCCAACACAACTAAAATATCTCTAAACGAAAACATGAATAGCATTAACAAAACACTACAAATAAATTCTAAATCATCTATAGAGAGAATGATTCTTCATTATAAAGAAGGACAAGACCTCTCAGATATTTTAAATCTGCACTACAAATAAATACAGATACTGTAAGTTTTTCTATAGATAAAAAGAAACATCACAATTACACAAAGCTTTAACTCTTGAAGACAAAAACAGTACTGTTAAACTTACACAATACTAACCTGAATCTAAAACAACACTCAAAATGCACAGATACCATCGGGAAGTCTTAAGGAGGAGCTCCATGGTAGGTATCCCAATGATCTCTGACAGAATCACATTGACAAAATTGCATTGAACTGATGGCTGACTCATGGTGACTCTTTGGGGAGACAAATGAGTTTATAATTGCCATATAAGACCAGATCATAAATACAAGAAACTACAAAACATACATCCTAAAAGATACAATAGTCACAGAAAACACTTGTAGAAAATGCCACATTATGCATGTGACTATACAACACATCACATCAAGTCACAAGCTTTTAACAGAAATTGATTACTAATACATTGATATAACCAAATAGAAAATATATTCAAAAGTTTGCACAGAAACTACTACACACCAGAGACCATACTATTAATACAAATACTCTTCTCAGATAGTCATATAAAACATAAAATATACTACAAGTATGATGGAGTTATAATTGCAAACAAACCAATCTATCATAAGACATTGTATTCATTGAAAAAAAAAAAAACCACAGTGAAAAACTATTAAATCAGAACTTGCCCATGAAATAAAGCCACTGTGGAGAATGGATAAGACATTATTTCTAAAATATTAGTAAGTTAAAATAAATAAATTAAAATATATATATATATATAAATTAATATTATACTAAATTATATATAATGTATATTAGCAGCAATTATAATCACCAAAAATTCAAAATTCAATACTCACTAATTTCTTCCTTAACACACATCATTTACACCTATCTATCCTGTAATAACAAAAATTTAATTAATGACTAAAAGATTTAATTTTCGGTATTTTAATTTTCAATAAAATTTTACTGCAGTAAAACATCTTTTAATTTAATAGTCTTGAAAAAGTGATAAAATTGAACTCAATACAATATTAAAACAAAATTCTCAAATTATTATTTATTTTAATAAATTACATGAAGATTATTAATTTAAACGATGTAAAGAACACTAGTTACATAATAATTATATGCAGTAAAATTTTTAATTTGAAAATTTCATTAAAAATCAAAATGACGAACAAGAGGAAATATCAGACCACCTGTAATATTATTTATAAAAATTTATCTATTATTTTACCTGGGAAATCACCAAAGTGTTATGAAGTACCTAAGACTGTTCCTATGAAGTATAATATTTGTTGTTACTTTGTCTGAAGTAATCTCCATATACTATAGGGTTTGGCTAAAATAAATACCTCAATGGAATGTGTAAAATACATAAAAATTAATTTAAGATTTTGTGAAAAGCTTTTATAATTTGATATATCAGCTTTAAATATAATTTATAAATTTTACGTAATTATTTCCAATATTTAACAGCTTTTGCAATTTTTTTTTATTTAAAATGAAACAAATTGCATTCAATATTTCTAAGCTAATAATTAATTTTTAGTTAAGTAAAATTTTTGGATATAATACTATACTAACAAAGCTATAAAATAATTACAGTTGATGAGTTGATGATAAAAATCTATAATTAATTCACTTATGATTTTATTGGCTTACAATAAAAAAGTAATGTTAATAAAAACTCACCTCAAATATTCTATGAAAATAATTTTTTTTAGAAGATCAGGACTATGGCTATTCTAACCTTTCAGATCCGATTAAATTTGTATTTAGATAACTTCCTCTGCAATTTTATTTATTTATCCTAAAATGTTAAATGTGAGTGTCCTAAAAACAATTTTCTTTAAAAAATGAAACAGAAAGTAACAGTCAATCCCACATTTTCAGCTTGGTATTAGATAAAAGCTTCTTCTTCATTTCAGAAGTAAGTATTCTTATTAACTGCTTAAATAATAACATGCTTATATACAATTTAATAGTGTTAATATCACAAACTAAGTCTGGAGAACTTTTATAAAATATAGAGTAATATTTTAATCTATATAACAAAGCTTTTACCTAAGTCAATTGGTGATGTGTTAATTTTCAACAGACAAAATTATTTACAAATTTCAACGATCTCCATTATAATACAAAAAGAAACCAAAAAATATTCTTAGCTACAATGTATATGAATCCTTAATAATAAACTTTCAACTAAAGTATTGTTAAATATTTATTACTGATTGAAAGTCTTTTGAAGTGCTTTACAAATCTAAAAACAAACTTTGAATTTATAATTTCTATCATTCTTGCTTAACTTTTTTTTTAATTTAATAGTAACATTTAAACTATAAAAAAAATTCTTATATAAAAATTCAACTTTATTAACTTTGGTAATAATTTTTTTCTTCAAAAATTATTCACTTAAATTACTATCAAAAGTAACACACCTGTAAAATATTTAAATTGTTTAATCACATACACTACATATTACTAATAATATACTGTAATCAATATCAAAATGTAGTAAGAATAGTAGTATGTGTAATTGTTGTAAAATAATTATTTGATATAAAAAGTTGTTAGAACAGTTATTTCTGTTTGAAAAGTATCTCAGTGAAAGGTATTATTACATACAACTATAATTAGTGGTCAAATAATATTTAAAATTATGATGAATTAATTTTTTAAAAATATTTTGCTGTTCATATCTAGTTTAAATTAAATAAAAAAGCAACATTTTATTGTGTGTATATGATGTTACTGAAAACTTTCAGATGCCAATAAATTATATTTTGAATTTAATATTACTATATTAAACACAATCACAATATGATTTGTAATGTGAATAAGAATGCAAAAGTAAATCTGAAGCAATACTTTCCAGTTATATATTATTTTACTGAATAATTATTACATTTATAATTTAATAATTTCTATTTTAATGTCACTGTTACTATAAATATCTCAGCAATAATCTTAGAACCAATATATTTTTTGTTTATAATCTCTTATAGAATATTCTATAAATGATTTCATTCAAGAGATTTTTTTTAACAGTTACAAAAAAGTAAATATGACAGTCTATAAAAGTAAATATGCTGGTTTGAATAAATTCTAGTCACCTTGACAGAAATAAACTTCCTACATAATTAATAGTAGGAAATATTACTTAATATAAACATGTTTTCTTCAAATAGCAATGTTAACATCTTCATGTTTATAAAATTATAAGTGTTGAGCATCTAAAATTCAAATAAATATACTACCACATTTCAATTAAAAACCTGTCTTCGATTCTAAAAATTAAAAAAAAAAAAACTGTAAAACTTACTTCCTTACTAAATTTTGAATAACTTCTATTTTTGATGTAATGCTGAGTTTCATTTTTTTACAATAAAAACTCGTTCACTTTTTTAATGTGCACTCTAGAAAGAATTGTATAACCTCACTTAAAACAGCATGACAGCATTCCTCAGATAGACCAAAATGGCTGTCATTCTGCAAAAATAAGGTAGTTGTATATCTCTAACTATTTTCATATGTAAAAAGATGGACTAGGAATAAAATATAAAATATTATCTAATACATGTTACCAATTGACAAAAATTCATAGTAAATAAATTTATTATATATATATTTACTGCTTATTATTTGCTTATTTGAAATATATATATATATGTTACCAGCCAAATCCGATTTCAGGCCAAACTAGTTTATCCTACACGTATCAGAATATACTAGTTTAGTCTAGGATAATCTAGTTTGGCCTAAATACTTTAGGCTTAACTAGTTTGACCTAGGCCGAACTGATTTATGTACTACAAATAGGTGCCGGTGTAAAAAAAAAAATTATTCTGTGTAATTCAAAATGCTACCACATGGTTAAAGTGTACCTAGGTAACCCCAATGTCGGTGCTTCGGTTAGGTTAACTACATTTTTAGTAGACGTTTCCTTTTTTTTTCTTTTGTTCAAGAACTACAGTGAATCAATAACTAGTGATGTTAAACAATGGGCGGCCTGCCGGCAGACACCTCCTGGAGGGGAGCTGCTGGGAGCACGAACAGTCTGAAGTGCCACTATTGGGGTTAACTATAAAAAAAAGGTACTGTACACTTTAACCCACCCTGTAAAAATAAATAAAAGATTAAATATTTTATATTACACTAAGAAACACAAACAAGTTCATTTTTTATTTTAGTTTGACTTTAAAAGTAATTTCTATTATTTCGTTTGAATTTTTGAAAATATCATCGAAAGTTAATTACCTTTAAAAGTGCATGGTTTAATAAAAAAAAAAAAAAATACAAACTGATAAGTAGTGATTAGCTTATTTTTATTTTATAGTTTTGTACAAGTGTTGTGCCACTTCTAATCAATACCATTTTTTTATAATTAAGAAGACTATGAATAAATATTGTTCATCTAATTGATTGCCTTTTAATTTTATTTTAACTATTAATATACTTAAATCAGGCCTGGTGAAAAGCAACCTGTCATGTTAAATTGTATGGCCCACTAAGTGATTTTATATATCTATTAAAACTTTCGTTTCCCATTATGGGAAACAAAAGTTTTAATAGATATATACCAAAACAATATGTATATACCAAAACAATTAAATAAATGAAAATTTGCATGTGTCATTGTTATAATGCACAAGTGAGAGTACAAACTCTTGGTATAACAATAAAATCTTATTCATTTTGTATTTGTTTTACTTTTTAAAAGCATGTTTGCTAAATTGTGGCCCACCGAAATGTTACGCATGATCAAAGTGGCCCGTGAAACAATTTCGGTTGGCCAGGCCTGACTTAAATAATAATTTTAAATCAGTTTGGCCTAGGGCAAATTAGTTAAGCCTAAAGTATTTAGGTCAAACTAGATTGTCCTAGTCTAAACTAGTATACCCTGATACGCGTAGGATAAACTAGTTTCACCGGTAACATATATATATTTTAAATTTATTTACAGGATGACATGTATTATTATATTTACTGCGTTATCATCACCATTATTAAGAATACAAATACCATATATTTTCTGTTAACAAAATTTAAACTTTCTTTGAATAAAATGAAAAAATATTATTTTAAAATTTAATATTAATTTCTTAATACATCAGCTTTACAGTACTGAAAATTTTGATTTGTAACTTTTTGATAAAATTTAAAATTCATTCAATGATTAAGTACAATTGTTTATTACAAACAAATTATTAATAAATTTTTGCTTCTTTGAAACTAGAATGTGTATAATAATTTGCAGTGATATTTTTATACTTCATCATCACATCAGCAAGTCTTACTAATAAAATTTCTTGAATATTTATAATCATAAATGACCAATTATTTATAATGGGCTGCAACTTTTAATCATCTTTCAATAATAAAAATAAATCACATTTTCCAGTTCACACAATTAGTTTGTATATAGTTAATATATGTTAGAATAGTGTAATATATAGTATATATGTCTCTATATACCAGAGGCACAAGCCTCTGGTATATAGAGAAACTGAAAACACCTTAAGTATCATTCCAATAGTTAATTTTTGATAAAACTAACATTTTTGGCTTGATTAATAAGCCCTCATCACCTTTTGAACAGATTCTATTTTTGGAATGATATTAATCAAGCCAAAAACGTTAGTTTTATTAAAAATTAACTACTGGATTTGTACGTAAGGGGTCTTCAGTGTCTATATACAATGTGATTCTAGTCAGACTATTATTGGGGCTTCTGGTCCCTAAGCTTTCCATACCACATCTCAGTTTTCATCTAACTCTGTTCTTGGGATTAATTAAGGATAGACAAACAACAGTGGGAATAATAGATCTGTAATTTGAAAATTGCAGCTCAGCAAATACTGATATTGAGCAAAACTCAGAATTGTAATAAC